CACAGGATGCTGTATTGAGTATACGTTTGCTTTAGGGGTTAAGCCTTGAGCAATGAAATGATACCCTGAAAACCAGTGAAATGACATCAGTGTGACAGCCCCTCATCTGCTATCGATTATCTTGTCACCAGAAGACACAGACTGCTCATCATGATATGTGGCACCTCAAACATTTTTTTCCATGCAACCAATTATCCTGGAAGAATATCAAGGCCCCATTGGTTTTTATTTTAAAAATAGAGGCCCAGTGCACAACATTTGTGCACTCGTGATGAGGTGGCGCTTGGCCTGGCCTGCACCCTTTAGCAGTCCAGGAGCCCTTGGGGGATGTCCAACTGATGGCTTAGGAGCTGGCCTAAGCTATCAGTCGGACATCCTTAGTGCTGCCGTGGAGGCAGGAAAGGCTCCCACCACCACCGCTGCGCTCGCCAGCTGTGAGCCCGGCTTCGGGTTGAGCGGTGCTCCCCCTGTGGGAGCACACTGACCACCAGCAGGCAGCTCCTGTGTTGAGCATCTGCCCTCTGGTGGTCAGTGCGTGTCATAGCGACTGGTCATTTCACCATTCAGTTGATTTGCATATTACCCTTTTATTATATAGGATCGTAAGTTAAAGCCTCGAAGGCATGCAAGTGACAGTGTATGAAAACTCATATTCCTACTAGCAGTTGTTGGGCCGTACTGCAGTGGTGAAAATCACTTTGTTTTTCAGTTAGAAGCCATGGGAAGAATCACGGCGTTGTGTAGATTACTTACAACTCCACGGTGCCCGCACCATTTGGCCAAAGAATGCTAAGAATTTGCAGCTGCTGCTCCCACGAGAGGTTCCTAAGGGTGCCAGCTGGTGTTTAACACCCAGCTGTTGTTAATTTGAGCTGAAGATTTTTAATTGTTTTTCTGTTGAGATTTGTTAAATAACATTTTAGAGGACCAAAACTATAATAGCTGTATTAGCAGGACGCTGAAAGAGAAAAAATAACTGGAACGCGGCATTTTGGCCTGGTAAGCCGAGTTCGAAAATATCTTTTCCACATGACTGGCTTCCAGCCATCCCAGGAAAGGAGTTTCTAGGTAAATCGGTCAGGAGCTCAGCCCCGTGTTCCCCTTACTCATTTATCTGGAAGCTCTTCTTCTCTGAGTGGCCTTCTCTTGTTTCTATTATCTCAGCAGACGGGAGCCATAGTGCTTGGAGCAAACAGCATTAGCTGGCCAGCACCTGGTCCTAAGTGGCCAGGACCTGGTCCTAAGTGGCCAGCCTCTGTCATCGCTGTTTCCCCGTGACATCTAGCCCACCCATGACCACACGGAGGGATCTAAACCCTCCCCACATGGCTTAGGCAGCTGTGTGGATGAGCAGATGATAGAAAATGTGGCCTTTCCTTTATTTCCACCAAGGCCACGGGGAGGGAATGAGAGGCGCTTCTACTGAGGAGAAACAATAACTGATGTTGTCCCTCAAAAGGGAAGTTGCCAAATATCCCAAGCAAGAGCTTTGGATGTGAAGAGAGGCCCGGAAAGCTGGAGATGAGCCATAAATCCTCACTGCCATATGAAAATATCAACCGTGCTTTGCATGTTAATGTTCAATATTCTCTTTACCAAGAAAACCTGGATTCATCAGGTGTAATGGAGCACCTACTGTGTGCAAGGTGCTGTGCTAGTGGGGAACCTGAAGACCAAGTGTAAGCCAGGCCAAGGGCGCATGTAAACCAGTCACTCCAACAGGGGCGAGGGTCAGAGGGCTGATTTATGGCCTTCAGGCTGAGAACCTCGAAGCGCAAAAGCACAGTGGCCTGGAAAAGCGCATTCTTATTGAAGGGACAGTAGGTGGTCGGACTTGACAGTGTTGACAGGGATAGAAATGGGAAAAAAGTTGAGAGTAAATGCAACCGAGTCTGGCTGGTGAATGTCCCTCTACGGAGT